GAAAAACAAAAGGATGTGATTCCATAAGACACTTGGTGTCCATGTTCACCTATCAGTAAAATGGGTACGAGGCGTTAGTGTCTCTGGTGGCTAAAGCTCTTGCTTCACATGGTGAGGACCTGGGTTCAATTCCCAGCCATTATTATTATTATTATAATCAAGAGGGAAGCGCTAAACCCTGATGATTATACAGTGCCTGGGGGGGGGATGTGGAAGGCATTCAGGCTTAATTCGGGGAACTGGAGCACAGATCCAATTCAATTCCCAGCCAGGGTAGAAACATTGGGCATGTTTCTTTACACCTTTTGTTTATGTTCACCCATCAGTAAAATGGGTACCTGGGTGTTAGTCAACTGGTGTGGGTTGCATCCTGGGACACTGACCTAATTTGCCCGAAATGCTCATCATAACAAGCAGCTTTCTACATAGTAGTATGTCATTGATGTCAGCTAGGCCTGTATACCTTGTACATGTACTTGTAGTAAATAAAGATAGTATTATTATTATTATTATTATTAACTGGTGTGGGTCACATCCTGGGACAGAAACTGACCTAATTTTCCCAAAATGCTCTGCAAACCAAGCGGCTTTTTATGTAGTATTAGTGTGTCATCAACATCAGATAGGCCTGTATCCCTTGCACATTACTTGTAGAAATAGATATTATATTATTATTATATATTGCCTTTAGGAAATGCTATGAAATCACACAATTAAACTATACAACTATACTTGCAGTGCTGCAGAAATGAGTGTTGAGTGTTTTGCCAAGTTCACAATAAGGTGTTAGAAAACTGACAGTATAGTACCGTAATAAAAAAAAATATAAGTACTATATAATTTTTAGGCAGAACTATATATTTGGGATTGCATACACTTTACATGGTAATCATTATTAATTTTCAGAATTAATGGAAAACTCTAGGTCCTGACAAATCAAAATGAACGGGTAAGCCACCATATATAAAAGCTTAAAGGCATGTATGTGATGCCCGCTGGCCGCATATAATCACATACAATCCATAATCTACATACCGGTAGTTTATTTTTCCTAAAATAAAATAAATTTAATTGTCATACAGCTAATATGAAGAGGTTTATGAGTTAAATATAAAATATGACTAAAAATATAGTACATAAGTGTAAATTGTATAGTAATTGAAAATTCACTCATCAAAAAACAGGTTAGTGTAAACTCCTTTTCACTTTCCAAATACTGTACTCAACATCAGTAAGCACCTAAAATGGCAAGGAACTATAGTATATTAAAATGAAAATTGCAGCTGATGACAAAATTAAAATAGCTGCTGTAAGGACCAGCTTTGTGCCTCAATGACACAACTATTGAAAATTAATGAAATATAAGATGTAGCAACATTTTTTAAAGATTACCTTGTGTCACAACTTTTTTTTTGTATTATAGGTCATTGAGTCTTTTTTAATATATATTCTCTTGAGTCATCTAGGCTTAAAAAATTAAATACATGCTGCTTAAATTATTTTCTTTTAAATTGAATTGATTATAAGAAAAATTTGATACAGTATAACTAATATCTTCATGTTTTGTGTGTTAAGAACACACAAATTCAATTTTCATAAGCACTGATCTTGACAAATTCATAATATGAACCATTTACATAAGCAAATTATGTTAACAAATATTGCACTGGGCTTCAATATATAAATAATTTAACATTGCAATTAATAACCCATCAACTTTTTGTAAACTATAGCCCCAAAAAATGAATAGCTTAAATATGTGTAATATTAGAAGTACTGTATCTTTTCCCAAATTAAGTACAGTACCTTCCTAGAGAGTTAATGTCATTTTGACATTACTACTAAACAGAATTTTGTTTTTTTAGTCTAATAATGGTTGATTTGTCCTCACTAACTACAAAGAGAAACAAGCACCTTTCATTAGACAATTTTTAATGAATTTTCAAGAATAAAAAAATTACTATTAATTTATTTATAAAATACTAACAATACACAATGAAAATTAGTACATTTGGAAAGTACAGTATACAAAAAAATTAAGTTGAGAGAAGCTGTTTCTTCAGATGTGACGGAATGCAACAGACTTTTAAACCTACTTCAGCTTTACTTACATTAGATGACATTTGTATCTTGGGGACTGTACATATTGTACAGTAAAAAAAAAAAATGTAATAATTATTAATATACTGCTTACTATATTTTTTTCTGAGTATTTGTTTCCAGCCAATTAGTAAATGACTACATACAACTTGGGAATTATGCTTTTTCATACACTGTAGCATGTATATGATTCTGTGCTCTTTAGGCAGAGTCAAAGCCAAAGCATTCTGAAACATTTTTTTAAAAATTCTTATTGTATGCATTTATAAAACATTGACAATTAATTTTGAATCACAACTGCTGCTCCTATGCTAATTTAGTAATCTCATTAGCTTAATCTTAAAAACCTATAAAGAGTTAATCTAAATTAATTCAGTATTTTTAACCTCCAATGAAATACAGTATATGAAAGACTGTCATGTTCCGAATTATTTTTTTTGCTGAATTATTGAAACAACAAATCTGCGCTCAACTTGTTTGGCTAAAGAAGTTGTTAGGTAAAAGAACACAAGTGCAGCTAATAAGACATTTAATTGTGGGGAACTTTATCAAGCTGTAATGGCTCGATAAAGCTCCAGGAGAGCGAAACATTGCCACAAAATGTCACATTAGTTCCACTTGTATCCTTTTACCTAACATACTGTCAGTAATTCTACTAACTTTAATACAAAGAATAGTTGAAGACTGAACGCTCTGCCTAAAAAAAAAGATGTGTATGTATGTATGTATATGTATGTGTGTGTATCTATATATTTAGTCTATAATTTCATAATGCATAGTTTTACTAGCCCATCACCATTTGAGTATCATTTCTATATACACTATATATATAATACAATATATACAACCTAAAACTCTGACTAGATACTGCATTAGCTCTAGAGTTAATGTGAAAGACATTGCCTGCCATATGTTCAATATTACACTGGCAAAAGATCATTCATTCACACACTTGTATATTATTTATAAAAATATCAAAGATAAATTCAAGCCATTGATCAAATGCAGGTTGTTTTATGCTGCAGTGGCTTTTATTTAGGTAAATATTTCAATGAAGTCAAATGCCTTTTAGCTTTAATGTTCAATATAAAATATTTGTAAATTTTAAAAATGCTGTACTAATGAATGCCAATCATATTCAATCATTCTTTTGATTAATCTAAAATAGCTAAAAAATATCATTCAGTCCTAGAAACATTAAACAATTGTTTGTATCTATGGCTTGGTACTCTAAAAGGACATACAAAACAAATAGTTGCTTTGCCCATCACCCCAGTTGACTATTCTAATTCCTGTCTTAGATAAACACAATGGAATCAAGAATGAAGACATGGAAAGACCTGAGTCATTAAGTATCTAAGGAGAGTCCTAGCTGAGAAATGTGAATTATGTTGTGCCATAAGTTTAGATACTTGGCATTTTAAATAATTTTCAATATGGCATTGGCATCCTCTATTTTCATATTATTTTGGCAGTCTGGAGCTGACTATTCTTCAGCTGCAGCTAGTGCTAATACAACAAATAATTAATACAATAACTATCTGGCATTGTTTTATAATTCCTGTCTCATCTCAAGTCTTATTGCAAGGTGCATCACAACTCAGTTCTATTGGCAAAAGAAAAGTAATGTATACAGTCAATTACTGTAATTTTGTAATATTAGCAAAAGTAATATATACAGTTACTGTAATTTTGTAAAATTTAATCTTATGTAAGTAAAATTGCATCAGGTGTTTTACCTCTTTTTGTTTTAAGAATAACTTAACCAGTAAACCTAAATATTTCATATTATTTAGGTACATTACAATGTCCTTACTAAGTGTATTGAAATCCTAAGTGATTGTGATAACCATTATCATTAATATCTGGTTGAATTACACTTTATTTATTTTTTACATATAATTTGATACTGTATATAACACTACTGAATTTATTTTTCTATATCCAGTACTTGCGGAATCGTGTAAACCATGCTTAATCATGATCATTTTATGAGCTAGTTTTTCAGCAGTGTTGCAGTGATCCAAAACCTTGTAATATTCATTATTACAAAATGCTTCACATTTCACAGGCGACATTCTCAAATCCAAAGTGCTATAATCTAAAATCAACAGAGTTGACAGTCTCAGACTTTACGAGTTCTGCTTATAGTAAAATCATTATCACTACAGAGTTGATTCAGATAGTGAGATCTTCCCATTCCTCAATTTCTCTTGGTGTGAGTGTAACCCTCAGGTTGGTCACTTTGCTCAAGCCATCATGACTCTTCGCTGTCAGAGGGTTCTCACGAATGTCAAAGTCCTCCAAGGTTTTGGCTCGCTGTACTTCCTCTACCTCAACATCTGTTGGGAAAGAAAGTACATTTGAGATATTGTCTTCAATATTACAGTGAAAGTTGAAAATTATTTTCATTACTACTCAATACATGCTGAGGAATGGCTTAACAGATTACCCAAATTGACCTGAAACCCATCTGCACGAAGGGTGTGCTTTGTAAACATATTTATTGTTTTAACTTTGTAAAATATCATATACTGTACATCAAGGTAGCCACATAAGACGATTGTATCAATTTTCTTGATAGAAAATGCACAAAGTAAACTACTGTACAACATGACTGCAGTTCTAATATTACAAATTAAAACTAAATGTATTTATCTTTCTAAATTTAATAATTATGCACTCTATTACTTATTGTTTCAAGTATGCACTGGAAAAATCTTGGTTCTAACCCATTATGTAATTGTTGTTAGCATGGATAATCTTGATTTTTGGCAGACGGAAGATGACATTGGGGAGGTTGACGTAGGAATTGTGACTAAGATCCAGACGCTGTAGCTCAACACAGTCAACCAGCTCCTCAGGCAGCTTAGACATCTTATTGTGGGAGACGTTCAGTTCTGCAAAAGAAATAACAATTGTTATATGTGGCAAGAACCCCAATGGAAATAAGTCACTTTTGACTTTTTTGGGGGGTTATCCTATGTAATTTACACTATGTATGATAATTGTGCTTATGTGTACCTGTTCTAAAATAAATTTACTGACTGTACAATGCCATTATGTTTTTGTTTGATCAGTATGTATTAAAATACTACACAATATCTCCCAAAGATAGTTAGAATTAATCAATTTGATGCGATTTAATCCATAAAATTTTCAACTTCAAAATCAAGATCATTTCTTGTACTACCTATTACATTCAGTCAGATTAATATCTTTATTAGCCACCCCATACCCATCCTGTGGGCAGTAGTCAAAAAAGATTGCAGAGGTACATAATGGGTCCAGGGACTGGGCCCCAAAGTTTTGATAGCTGATTATTATTATTATAATCAAGGGGAAGCGCTAAACCCGGAGGATTATACAGCGCCTGGGGGTATGTTTACCTGGAGTTTACCTGGAGAGAGTTCCGGGGGTCAACGCCCCCGCGGCCCGGTCTGTGACCAGGCCTCCTGGTGGATCAGAGCCTGATCAACCAGGCTGTTGCTGCTGGCTGCACGCAAACCAATGTACGAGCCACAGCCCGGCTGGTCAGGATCCGACTTTAGGTGCTTGTCCAGTGCCAGCTTGAAGACTGCCAGGGGTCTGTTGGTAATCCCCCTTATGTATGCTGGGAGGCAGTTGAACAGTCTCGGGCCCCTGACACTTATTGTATGGTCTCTTAACGTGCTAGTGACACCCCTGCTTTTCATTGGGGGATGTTGCATCGTCTGCCAAGTCTTTTGCTTTCGTAGTGAGTGATTTTCGTGTGCAAGTTCGGTACTAGTCCCTCTAGGATTTTCCAGGTGTATATAATCATGTATCTCTCCCGCCTGCATTCCAAGGAATACAGGTTTAGGAACCTCAAGTGCTCCCAGTAATTGAGGTGTTTTATCTCCATTATGCGCGCCGTGAAGGTTCTCTGTACATTTTCTAGGTCAGCAATTTCACCTGCCTTGAAAGGTGCTGTTAGTGTGCAGCAATATTCCAGCCTAGATAGAACAAGTGACCTGAAGAGTGTCATCATGGGCTTGGCCTCCCTAGTTTTGAAGGTTCTCATTGTCCATCCTGTCATTTTTCTAGCAGATGCGATTGATACAATGTTATGGTCCTTGAAGGTGAGACCCTCCGACATGATCACTCCCAGGTCTTTGACGTTGGTGTTTCGCTCTATTTTGTGGCCAGAATTTGTTTTGTACTGATGAAGATTTAATTTCCTCGTGTTTACCATATCTGAGTAATTGAAATTTCTCATCGTTGAACTTCATATTGTTTTCTGCAGCCCACTGAAAGATTTGGTTGATGTCCGCCTGGAGCCTTGCAGTGTCTGCAATGGAAGACACTGTCATGCAGATTTGGGTGTCATCTGCAAAGGAAGACACAGTGCTGTGGCTGACATCCTTGTCTATGTCGGATATGAGGGTGAGGAACAAGATGGGAGCGAGTACTGTGCCTTGTGGAACAGAGCTTTTCACCGTAGCTGCCTCAGACTTTACTCTGTTGACTACTACTCTCTGTGTTCTGTTAGTGAGGAAATTATAGATCCATCGACCGACTTTTCCTGTTATTCCTTTAGCACGCATTTTGTGTGCTTAATTTGGCTTAATTTGGGGAACTGGAGCACAGATCCAATTCCCTAAATCAAGAGCCCCTCACCAACATCAAGGAACCTTCCTCGAGGGGTTTGATAGTTGAACTCTACTCTGAACTGTACTCTATGCCTAGCCATGCTAAGCGTTCTAGTGGTACACTCTGTAATCACAATTTTACTACATGTAAACCACACAATAACCAAATTTCTGTAAACTCAGCATTGTAATCCTTATAGAGAATAAACTTGGAATTTGAATTTGAATTTGAATCCTTAATTAAACTCCATTATAAAAGAAAATAAATATTCATTCTGAATGTGCAGCAACTAAAGCAAAGAGGTACCTTGATGATGAAGAATTCTTGGTCAAAAAACCTGGAGCAGTCCTTTCCCTTCCCTTCCTTGGCTCAAACCTGATTACCCCCGTGGGAACAAGATGTTAAAAAACAAGGTAGTTTTATCCCTCCTTCACAGGTACAAAGAGAATCACAGCAGTGGTGGTTTATTTGTCAGGAAACACGGTAGATGTCTCTTGGCACAGGTCTTTGTTACATGATCTATAACTGGTTAAGCATTCTCTGGCTTACCACAGCTAGGTTTAACACCTCATTTATAAAAACTGTGGATCACTAGTTAGTAGTTAATTAAGTCCAGCTCTTTGGATCAAGAGTCCCTCACCAGCATCAAGGCTTCTTGAGTCTCTTATTCTTGCCCCTTAAGGGGCATGAATAAGAGACTCGACAGACGGTGCAAAATATCCAGTGAAAAGCAGGGGCAAAATAAGTACACTCAGTATTAACTTGATAAGTGCATTTTCTTTATTTCTGGAAGGGCGAATGCACTAAACTAATAGAAGTTATACATCCGTCGAGGACTACTGCAAGTCTCCAAGCAGACATCAACCAAATCTTTAAATGGGTCGAAGAAAACAATATGAAGTTCAATGAAGACAAATTTAAATTACTCCAGTATGGAAATCTCAAGGAAATTAAAACTGTATTGGAGTATAAAACAAATTCCAAGCACACAATCAAGCGAAAAGCTATTGTGAAGGACCTGGGAGTGATAATGTCAGATGATCTCACTTTCAAATATCACAACATCTGCTAGGAAAATGATAGGATGGATAATGAGAACCTTCAACACTAGGGATGCTAAGCCTGGATACCTGGAGAAGGTTTTGGGGGGCAGTGCCCCTGCAACCCAGTCTGTGACCAGGTCTCATAGTGGATCAGGGGCTGATCAACCAGGGTGTTACTGTTGGCTGCATGCAACCCAACGTACGAACCACAGCCCGGCTGGTCGGGTACTGGCTTTAGGTGCCTGTCCAATGCCTGCTTGAAGACAGCCAGGGGTCTATTGGTAATACCCCTTATGTATGCTGGGAGGCAGCTGAACAGTCTTTGGCCCCTAACACTTATTGTGTTGTCTCTTACTGTGCTAGTGGCGCCCCTGCTTTTCATTGGGGGGATGTTGCATCGTCTGCTGAATCTTTTGCTTTCATAGGGAGTGATTTTCGTGTGCAAGTTTGGTATTAATCCCTCTAGGATTTTCCAAGTGTAAATAATCAGACTTCACAATGAGGCAGCCATTAATAACTTCACAGCAGCAGTGACAAACATTGATTGGCACACTGGAGTTTACCTGGAGTTTACCTGGAGAGAGTTTCGGGGGTCAACGCCCCCGCGGCCCGGTCTGTGACCAGGCCTCCTGGTGGATCAGCGCCTGATCAACCAGGCTGTTGCTGCTGGCTGCACGCAAACCAACGTACGAGCCACAGCCCGGCTGATCAGGAACTGCCTTTAGGTGCTTGTCCAGTGCCAGCTTGAAGACTGCCAGGGGTCTGTTGGTAATCCCCCTTATGTGTGCTGGGAGGCAGTTGAACAGTCTCGGTCCCCTGACACTTATTGTATGGTCTCTTAACGTGCTAGTGACACCCCTGCTTTTCATTGGGGGGATGGTGCATCGTCTGCCAAGTCTTTTGCTTTCGTAGTGAGTGATTTTCGTGTGCAAGTTCGGTACTAGTCCCTCTAGGATTTTCCAGGTGTATATAATCATGTATCTCTCCCTCCTGCGTTCCAGGGAATACAGGTTTAGAAACCTCAAGCGCTCCCAGTAATTGAGGTGTTTTATCTCCGTTATGCGCGCCGTGTGAAAGTTCTCTGTACATTTTCTAGGTCGGCAATTTCACCTGCCTTGAAAGGTGCTGTTAGAGTGCAGCAATATTCCAGCCTAGATAGAACAAGTGACCTGAAGAGTGTCATCATGGGCTTGGCCTCCCTAGTTTTGAAGGTTCTCATTATCCATCCTGTCATTTTTCTAGCAGATGCGATTGATACAATGTTATGGTCCTTGAAGGTGAGATCCTCCGACATAATCATCCCAGGTCTTTGACGTTGGTGTTTCGCTCTATTTTGTGGCCAGAATTTGTTTTGTACTCTGATGAAGATTTAATTTCCTCATGTTTACCATATCTGAGTAATTGAAATTTCTCATCGTTGAACTTCATATTGTTTTCTGCAGCCCACTGAAAGATTTGGTGATGTCCGCCTGGAGCCTTGCAGTGTCTCAATGGAAGACACTGTCATGCAGATTCGGGTTTTCATCTGCAAAGGAAGACACGGTGCTGTGGCTGACATCCTTGTCTATGTCGGATATGAGGATGAGGAACAAGATGGGAGCTAGTACTGTCCCTTGTGGAACAGAGCTTTTCACCGTAGCTGCCTCGGACTTTACTCTGTTGACGACTACTCTCTGTGTTCTGTTAGTGGGGAAAATTTATAGATCCATCGACCAACTTTTCCTGTTATTCCTTTAGCGCGCATTTTGTGCGCTATTACGCCATGGTCACACTTGTCGAAGGCTTTTGCAAAGTCTGTATATATTACATCTGCATTCTTTTTGTCTTCTAGTGCATTTAGGACCTTGTCGTAGTGATCCAGTAGTTGAGACAGACAGGAGCGACATGTTCTAAACCCATGTTGCCCTGGGTTGTGTAACTGATGGGTTTCTAGATGGGTGGTGATCTTGCTTCTTAGGACCCTTTCAAAGATTTTTATTGATATGGGATGTTAGTGCTATTGGTCTGTAGTTCTTTGCTGTTGCTTTACTGCCCCCTTTGTGGAGTGGGGCTATGTCTGTTGTTTTTAGTAACTGAGGGACGACCCCCGTGTCCATGCTCCCTCTCCATAGGATGGAAAAGGCTCGTGATAGGGGCTTCTTGCAGTTCTTGATGAAATCTATACATATATTGACGAATGTATTAATAATTTTCTAAAAAAGACCCAATACCTTTATAACAAGCACTGCCCCCAAAAAACTAAACAG